CGCACTTCCGGCGAGCGCGGCCGCGTGCGCCCAGCCTCGTCTGACAGACGTGGGAGGCCGCCCATGTGTGAGCGCCGTCCGAGCCGGCCGCGCTGGGAGTCGCTGTGCCTGCACGCCGGTCGTGGACACTGCCACAGCGGCAAATCGAGTAGGGCCGCGTGAAAGCAGTAGTGTGTCCTGGTCATGGAGAGTCCCACAGCGTGGTGATTTTCAAAAAATGGAAAATGTTGCCCTTGTGGTGACGCACGCCTGAAATCCCAGCACTCGGGAGGCTGAGGCAGGAGGATCGTTGCAAGTTGGAGGCCAGCCTGAGCTGCAAAGTGAGGTTAAGGCCAGCCGGAACTTCATAACCAGACCCTGTCTCAAAAAACAAAAACAAAAAACCAGCTAAGCAGGTGGCAACTGCAGGTCACTCGGGAATGAAAATCCCCCAGACTCTGCCAGGACATGGGCAGCTACGGACCCAGGGCGTCAGTGTCACAGGAGAGTCTGAGTCACTGGTTTGCAAAATGGCCTAGCGGGCCAGCAAGCAAGTCATTTTGGTGTAGCCGCTCAACTGTTAATGGATGGGAAACTAGCACGGCTGTGTTCCACTGAGATTTATAGACACTAACATGAATTTCCTGTCTATGTGTCATGAAGTAGGGCTTTTTTCAAGCATGTAAGATCGTTCTGAGCACATAGGCCAAAAAAAAACATTTGGGGCAGGGTCTGCTGGCCGCAGTCATTTCCTGACCGCTGGTCTCAAGGTAAATTCTTCTGGACACACACTTGCTGGCAATTAGGTAACTTTGATTCCACTAAAAAGTGACAAGAGTATAGAGTCTGCTTAAGGCTCTGAACTGCTGGTGTCAAAGCTGGGCGTGTTGGCATACACCTGTAATTCCAGCAGTCAGGAGGCTGAGGCAGGAAGATTGTTGCAAGTTCAAGACCAGCCTGGGCTACAAAGTGAGCTCAAGGCCAGCCTGAACTGCATAAGGAGGCCCTGTCTCAAGAAAGAAAAAAAAAAAAATGCTGGTGTGCAACTGTAGGACAAAGCTTTAAAGGTTTCTACACTGAAACCAAATACACCGCTAGAAAAACAAACTGGCCAAGTTTCACTTATTCGTGATCTTCATGCTCTCACATGCAGCACGAAGCACACTGGCTTCACACAGCACTGGCTGCACTTGTGACCCTAAGTGGAAGATACCTTTACACTAGTCAACGTGGCCATGCTCTAATCCCATGCAGGGAACATCTGGTCTCAATCTCCTGACTCGATGACTTTGCCTTCATTTAACAAAAATGCACTCCATTGTTTAAAAATAGCCATTTGGGGAACAGGCCAGCATATAAAATTCCTGTCATGTAAAACTTAACCATTTATCTTTTTAAAAAATAATCTTTCAGAGCCAGGCATGGTGGCACACGCCTGTAATCCCAGCACTCGGGAGGCTGAGGCAGGAGGATCATTGCAGTTTGAGACCAGCCTGGGCTACAAAGTGAGCTCAAGGCCAGCTTGAACTGCATATTGAGACCCTGCCTCAAAAAGACAAAAAAACAAAACAAATCTTTCAACCTTAAACCTCTGTTATTCAATTGTATTGATGTACATTATAGTAGCAAGAGACAAATTCACTACAGGCTATAGTTTTAGCAACCTAACTAACCAGAAGTATGACATTTTATTAAGACAAAACAGCTAAATGAAACCTTTACTTTCCACACTTCATGTGCTAGGTTGCTTCCAATTACATCCCCTACCCCTCAAAAATCAGTCTGAGACTCACTGAAGTGTTCAATTCAAACCTATATTTTCAGTTTCTAAAACATTGATCCACAGACCACTGTCTGGTAACACATTTACCAGGGACAGCAAAGGCAAAGAGAGCCCGTGCTGGCCCTTCCTGGGAGCGGAAGGGCCCCTTGGCTAGCGTCCTTTAAAAATACACATCTGACAACGTTCACACCTCCAGCAGGCGGCGATGGAATAAATACACCGGTGCATCTGTCCCTCAGTTCCCGAGTGTCCGCCAACTACCTGTTGTAAGCCCTCTCTTTTTTGGATTTCTCCAGGGCTTTGTCCATCGTCTTCTCATTCTCCCCCCGACACTTGGGACAGTACCACTTGCCCTTTGGTTTATGGTTGAGCCCCACGCACGAGAAGTGGAACCACTCGATGGGGCACTCATCGTTGTCACAGCCGATCATCTCTCCATAGGAGACCTGATTGCACAGACAGTACGTGGGCTCGTTGGGGTCAATGGGGAGGTCTGCAGGGGATGCCTCCCTCTCCGCTTTGGCCTTGGAACGTTTTTTCTTCTTCGAGGTTTTCGCTTTCTTCTCCTTGGGTGTTCCTGAAGTGAGGTCATCGTGGTCGTGATTATTAGAGGCATTCTCTCGATTCTCATTATTTCGCTGCCGCCGGGACCGCTTGTTATTGGGCTTTTCTGCTGAATTGATTGTCTCATTCTTGGACTTATCTTGCCCAGCCTTGCCAATGCCGCCCGTGGTGTCGCCGATCTCCTGGTGGGCCTCAAAGAGCTCCACGTGACTGTCCACTTGTCTGGTCCGGTTCTCCACCAGCTCTACCATCTGACTCACGATCTGGATCTTCTCGTCCCCCAGCTCCTGGCTCCGGATCAGGGCTCGCTGGATGCAGTGCAGCAGCCGCCTCTTCTGGGCGCTGTCAGTCTCGCGCTTGAACTTCTCATAGTACTCATCCAGCTCCTTCAGGATCTCTGCAAACAGAAACAGTACGCGTTACCCAGCGCTGCGAGCACCCACAGAGGGCTCGTTCAGCCTCACAGCTGTGAAAGAGTAACTACAGAGAACGGAAGGGACCAAGGTGAGCTGCCAGTGTAAGAATCCCGCCACCTGCAAATCTTTTAAAGACTTAATCAGCAGCAGGAACTCTATCAGAGAACACATACAGATTTCCAGTACAGCTCCTATGGTTTAACACCTGGGGATAAGAAGCTGAGATCCGGACTAAGGGACGGAGGCCCTCAGTTTACGGGTCACTTCATGGTCATTCCTGCACCTAGTTCTTTACTACTACTGAGAACAAGAATGGTCTGGTTTTAATAAACCTGAACCACAACTTCAACCTAAAACACAACTTAGTTTTGTTTTAACTTACTTTTACACCTACTGCTTACAATGTCATTTTTAGAGCTGTATTAGTCAACAACGGATTAATAACATAAAACCTTTTGCTATTAAATTTAAATTTTCTTGCACAAGCTACATGCAGTGTATGTCATTTACCAATATAATTTGGCAAATGTAATTAGATAATTCCTCAGTAAAAAAGATGTTGTGATGACCTAATTAAAATATAGGAACTAAATATTCTTGACAAAAACCTATTTAAATACAAAAAGACCAAAATTATTTTTCTCAAACAATAAACAGCACTAGATTTTTGTCCTGCAACTGTTTAGCACTCTCTTAACACCAGACTCTCCAACTAGGAGGTATGTGAGAAGTGTGTGTGTGGGGGGTGCGGATGTCTACAACGCTGCCCACCCTCCTTTGCAAACCGAATTTCCACAGGGAGGACTCAACCCGACTTTAGAATAAACATGTGAACAAGCAGGGTAGTTGCGCTGAAGCACCCTGAAATAGTAAAGGCTGTGATCTAGCTCTGAAGGTATTTCCTACAGGAACCTTGTACTATCACCAGAAAGGAGGGAAACCAGGGTCTCCCAGTCTACCCAAATTCATTCTGCAAATCTGCTCATCCAACTCACTTAGGTCTGATGTTAAAACGTGAGTTCGAGCTATTTATTTTATTTTGTCTTTCTGAGACAGGGTCTTGAAACAACCCTCCTGCCTCAGCCTCCCGAGTTCGGGGATCACAGGTGCGACACCACACCTGGCCAGCTATCTATTTTTAAATGGACTGCGTTTCAGAGCTGTACCTAGCTTATCCAGTAATCAAATTTTACCGAAGACACCATGCTGTCACATCGCTAACAACTTCTTTTACACCACAAACAAGCTCCCCTCCAAGTGAAGTCACCTGCAGGGAACTACCACAATGGAATTCTTACCTACACAGTGGAACATGTTTCTTAGCAGGTACTGTCAAGACAGCCACTGAAGGCCAGAGATACAGCTCAGTGGCACAGTGCCTATCTGGCAAGCGTGAGGTCCTGAGTTCGATTCCTGATACCGAGAAACAAAACACAACAAACTAAAAAACCCAGCCACTGTGAGCTATAAAAGAGGGCAGCGACACCAGGCTAAGCATGGGGCGGCTGGGATGCTGCCGCTTCATCCACCGGCCTGCTTCAGACCACGGCTGACCCCGTGTCCTGAAAATGTTCTACGACAGAAAACCTGCACTGCACAAAGAACGCGGGGTTAAACGAGACCACGGCAAAACCATCTGCACTGTCTGATTCCTGCTGCGCATTTGAGTCTTACACAGGCTTGCACTCCAGGGCTGTAGAAGCAGGCTTCCCTCGAGGCAGGCAAGCTCGAACGCCACCTGCATCTGGGGACCACGGCCCGCCGCGCGGCTGGTCCACCCCGATGGGCACTAAGCCGAGTGTGACCCGGGGCCCCGGGCAGAGACAGAAAAACAGCAGCTTCCCGGTGGCGACGGAGACGTCGCTGACTGTGCCCGGAGAACGGAACCCGAACCGCCGCACCGCGCAGTGCCCCCAGGCACCGAACCCGAGGGAGGACGCACCGTTGTGGAGGCAGAAAGGTGGCCCGCAGCTCCCGCGGATCACCAAGGCAGAGCCCGCGGCCTGAGGCGCTGCTCGGAACCGCCGCCGGCGCCATCGCTCAGGCCGGAAGTGGCCGGACTCCGTCAAAAACAGGAACGCGGAGGGGCAGGGCGGACTCCCGCCAATGGGGAAGAGAAAGATACGCCCCGCCCCGAGAGCAGCCGCCTATAAGAACCGGCGGGCCGGAGGGCGGAGGCCAGAGAGCCGCCAATCAAAGTGCAGGACCTGCGCGCACAGCCCGCCCCAGTAGCTCCAGGAGCCAACCCTAGGCCGGAGGCCGAGCGACCCAAAGGCTTTCAAACTCGACCTCCTCCCTACGCCCCGCCCCTCTCCGAAAGAGGAAAAAAGAAGGCAGCGGAAACACAGACCTGTGCCACTCACTGAGCAAGGCCCACCCTTATCCGGCTCAATCACCAATCGCGCCGCAGCAGACGGATAAGGATATTCCACGGGAGACGTCACAACCAATCACAGGGAGGTTGAGGCGGGACGTTCCGCAATATGCTAATGAAGTCCCTATAAAAGTCGCTGCGAAGCTACGTCTCCGGTAGAGCGCGCAGGGGCGCTTTACTAAGTTGGGGGCTGGCGTGTGTGGTGGCGAACGGTAGCCTTCCACTCCCCCCAACTCGTCCGTTTCCCTGCTGCGCAGCCCTGCAAACATTAGTAAACTCCAAGCAAAGATCCACATTCAAAACAGGGCCTCCAACCCCCTGCCTGACCACGCAAGAAAGTTTCCCCAACAGCCAGCAATTCCCGGCGGGCACGGAGCCTTCACTGCTCTCCGCCACTCCGGGCGGCCGGGTCTGCAGGGCAGGACCCACAGGTCCCCTCCCAGCTTCGTTCCGCTCCGAGCCGCTTGGGCGCAGCACAGATGGGCGCCTTCCTCGCTTGCGATCCTCCCCTCCCCTCCCCTTCCATCGCACACCCGAAAAAAGCCCTCGTCCTCCGCAAACTACCCGGCGGCGTCGCCCCTCGCAGTCGGCCCCACTCCGCCGCGTCCAGCGCCAAGGGAGCCTCGGCGGGGGCGGCGAGCGACCCCGAGCTCGGACAGCCCGGGACTTTACATAACCTGGCTCCGGGACCGGGCGGGGGGCGGCGGCGAGGGGCCGCGGG